GGCCCTCGGGCGCTACGCGTACGTGCGCGGCGGGGCCGGGAACGGCTCGGCCCTCCTGCTGTGCCAGCGCTACTTCCGCAAGGGCCGCATCGACCCCGCCAACGACACCTTCAACATCGACCCCCACATCGTCACAGGTGGGGCTGGGGCTGGGGTGGGGAGATGGGACCATCAGACAACGTCCCGAAGCCACCATGGGCACCTGGGAGGGGTTGGGGGTGTCACTCCGGGCTGGGGAGGGGCTCGGGGGGGTGGTGGGGGCACTTGGGATGGCCTGGAGGTGTTTGAGGTGCCCTGGAAGTGCTTGGGATTGCCTGGAAGTGCTTGGGATTTCCTTAAAGTGTTTGACATGCCCTGGAGGTGTTTGGGATTGCCTGGAAGTGTTTGGGATTTCCTTAAAGTGCTTGTGGTGACCTTAGAAGTGTTTGGGATTTCCTGGAAGTGATTGGGATTCCTTTAAAGTGCTTGGAATTTCCCAGAAATGCTTGGGATTCCCTCAAAGTGCTTGGGATTCCTTAAAGTGCTTGAAATTCCTAAAAGTGCTTGGGATTTCCTTAAAATGCTTGGGATTCCTTTAAAGTGCTTGGGATTTCCTTAAAGTGTTTGGGATTTCCTGGAAGTGCTTGGGATGCCCTGAAGGTTCTTCTCCACCCCACAGATTGCCTGGGGGTGGATCCTGAGGACCCCCAGCCCCCGGCTCTGGATGGCACCTACAGGAACTTCACCGTCAAATTCCACAAGTAAATCCCCACTTCCCCAAATCCCAGTGCCAGGGGTTGCTTCCCTTCCCCAAAACCTGGTGCCGGGGTTTGGGTTCCCCTTCCCAAATCCTGGGGGTTGTGTTCCCTTTTTTTTTTTTTGGGGGGGGGGGGGAGGGAAGGGGGGGCTGAGACCCCCTTGGAAAGCCCCGGGATTGAGGATTGAGGATGGAGGGGGGTCCCTCCCTCCCCCAGGCTCGTCAACGTCACCATCCAGTTCCAGCTCAAGGCCATCAACGTCCAGACCATCATCAACAACGAGATCCCCGACTGCTACACCTTCACCATCACCGTGAGTGCCCTGGGGGGGCCCTTTCATGTGTCCCCTTCTTGTGTCCCCCTCGGGTGTCCCCCTCTTGTGTCCCCCTTGTGTGTCCCCCTCGTGTGTCCCCCTCGTGTGTCTCCTTCTTGTGTCCCCTTCTTGTGTCCCTTTCTTGTGTCCCCTTCTTGTGTCCCCCTCGTATGTCCCCCTCGGGTGTCCCCCTCGGGTGTCCCCCTCATGTGTCCCCCTCCTGTGTCCCCCTCGGGTGTCCCTTGGATGTCCCTCTGTCCCTCCTGTCTCCTCTGTCCCCTTCGTGTGTCCCCCTTGTGTGTCCCTCTGTCCCTCACATGTCCCTCTGTCCTCTGTGTGTCCCTCTTGTCCTTTGTGTCCCCCTGGTGCCCCCCTCATGTGTCCCTCCCATCCCTTGTGTCCCTCCTATCCTTTGTGTCCCCCTCGTGTGTCCCTCTGTCCCGTGTCCCTCAGGTGTCCCTGGACTCCCTGTGTCCCTTGTGCCCCCCTTGTCCTTCAGGTGTCCCTCTGTCCCTCAGGTGTCCCTTAAGTCCCTGTGTCGCTTGTGTCCCCCTCGTCCTTCATGTGTCCCCCTGGTCCTTCCCGTGTCCCTCTGTCCCTCAAGTGTCCCCGAAGTCCCTGTGTCCCTTGTGTCCCCCTTGTCCTTCACGTGTCCCACTGTCCCATGTCCCTCAGGTGTCCATTGACTCCCTGTGTCCCCCTTGTCCTTCGTGTGCCCCCCTTGTCCTTCACGTGTCCCTCTGTCCCCTGTCCCTCAGGTGTCCCTTGAGTCCCTCTGTCCCTGTGTCCCTTGTGTCCCCCCCTTGTCCTTCACATGTCCTGCTCTCCCTGTGTCCCTCAGGTGCCCCTTGAGTCCCTTTGTCCCTTGTGTCCCCCTCATCCTTCACGTGTCCCTCTGTCCGCATGCCCCTCCCGTGTCCCTCACCTCCCTCTTGTGTCCCTTTGTCCCCGTGTCCCTCGCGTGTCCCTCGCACCCCTCATGTCCCTGGGAGGGACGGGGACAGTCCCCAAGGGGTGTTGTGTGGGTGGTGAGAGGGTGTTGTGTGGGTGTTGTGTGTGTGGTGAGTGGGTGTTCTGTGGGTGTTGAGTGGGTGGTGAGTGGGTGTTGTGTGGGTGATGTGTGGGTGTTATGTGGGTGTTATGTGCATGTTGTGTGGGTGCTGTGTGGGTGCTGAGTGGGTGCTGAGTGGGTGTTGTGTGGGTGCTGAGTGGGTGTTGTGTGGGTGCTGAGTGGGTGCTGAGTGGGTGCTGAGTGGGTGCTGAGTGGGAGGTGACCGTGCCCCCCATCCCCAGATCACGTTTGACAACAAGGCCCACAGCGGGCGGGTGAGGATCCGCCTGGACAACCACGCCCACATCAAGGAGTGCAAGGACCCCTCGGTCTTCGGGAGAGGTGAGACAAGGAGGGGTGGCTGCTGTGGATGCCTTCTGTCCCCTGGGGGTGGCTCCTGTCCCCAGGGGGTGCCTCCTGTCCCCAGGGGGTGGCTCCTGTCCCCAGGAGGTGACTCCTGTCCCCAGGGGGTGGCTCCTGTCCCCAATGGTGGCTCCTGTCCCCAATGGTGGCTCCTGTCCCCAGGGGTGTCTCCTGTCCCCAGGGGTGCCTCCTGTCCCCAGGAGGTGACTCCTGTCCCCAGGGGGTGGCTCCTGTCCCCAGTGGTGGCTCCTGTCCCCAGAGGGTGACTCCTGTCCCCAGGAGGTGACTTCTGTCCCCAGGGGGTGGCTCCTGTCCCCAGGGGGTGACTCCTGTCCCCTGGAATGGCTCCTGTCCCCAATGGTGGCTCCTGTCCCCAGAGGGTGACTCCTGTCCCCAGGGGGGTGACAACAGGCCACAGGGGAGCTCGGGGGGTCCCCCAGGTTCCGAGCAGCTCCCTCCCCCCCCCCGTGTCCTGCAGGTGACAATTCCTTCCGGCTGTTCTTCGACGTCATCGTCATCCTCGTGTGCTCCTTGTCCTTCATCCTCTGCGCCCGCTCCATCGTCCGCGGCCTCGCCCTGCAGCTCGTGGGTGGGGGACAGGGGGGGAGGATGGGGGAGAGGGGGGGGAGATGGTGGGAGAT